TGTCCACTATATGCAGACCCAAGAAATCTATTAATAAAACCCCTTTTCACGAAGAAAACAAATCTAACCAGGGCAGAGAGCGTAAAATGGCTGCTGAGTGATACTGATGACTCTGTGACTTATAAGGTGGATCTCCATGCCTTGGCAGTTAGGAAGATTAGGAAGAAAGAACTGGATGGGCTAGCAGTCAGTTGCAAAGGGGACTCAGAGATCTAACTTGAGCATTTTATTTGAGAATTACTTTTTATTCTGTGCAATAAGGAATTTTGGTGGATTTGATCATGGTTTTACTGCACATGTAGCAACTGCTGTCTCTCTCTCCCCCCTTCCCTTCTTTGGATGATACCATGGCCTTTGGCTAGCACAATAAAAGTTTATGTTATGTTATAGATTTAAGGGGAGGATGTGGGTGATGCTGTGGTCTAAACCACTGAGCCTCTTGGGCTTGCCGATTGGAAGGTCAGCGGTTCGAATCCACCAAAGGGGGTGAGCTTCCGTTGCTCTGTTCCAGTTTCTGCCAACCTAGCAGTTCAAAAGCACACCAGTGCAAGTAGATAAATAGGTACCACTGTGGCAGGAAGGTAAAGAGTGTTTTTGTGTACTCTGGCACTTGTCACGGTGTTCCGTTGCGCCAGAAGCAGTTTAGTCATGCTGGCCACATGACTCGGAAAGCTGTCCGTGGACAAATGTCGGCTCCCTCAGCCTGAAAAGCGAGATGAGCACTGCAACCCCATAGTCACCTTTGACTGGACTTAAATGCTCAAGGGTCATTTACCTTTACCCCCCAGAAATTAATAAATGCCAGGGTTTTGATTAACTGGGATACGGATTAAAGTGCAGAACTGTGCGGGACAAGGAATTCAGGGAATTCCCAGGCTGGCTTATGCAAACCAGAATGGCTGGGCAAAGAGCAAACCTGTTAACATGACAAAAGTTGGTGATGGGCCACTGGGGAGTGAGATGTTACCAAGGTGATGAGGTGTATGTTTGAGGGGGCAGGAAAAGGGTTTCTGGGAAGAAGAATTAGGAAAAAGAGCTGAGATCCACCTTTCCAGGAGGCTGGCTGCAGGCTGCTTCAGCTGCTGCCTCTTAAAATGACCATGTTATAAGATCTTGACTCCCTCCATGCAGACTGAAGGTGTAAATAGGTGAACAAACCATATTTCTTAAAGCCACAACAGTCTCCACTGCGTCTTCAAAGGGACACAGGCCTCGTGTGGGTGCCTGTGACTCCGTGGGTTCTCGGCAGAGAGAGGGGCAGGCACCCAAATTTTGTAACGGTATACTTTTTTTAAAATAACAGTTTTATTTATAATTTTCCTTTATATAGTTTAACAATAGTTCCAACATTTCAATCCTTGACTTCCACCCTCCTCTTTCTGAGCTTCCTTCAATTTATTTTATCATTTCCACGTTTGTAACAATATACTTTAAAAAGCTACCCCCCCCCCCCATGAAATCCTTCGATCTTCACTGCAATCACTTAGCAAACAGCGTTGCTGGAAAAGTTCCCCACCCCCAATAAAATGCATCTGGAACAGATCTTTTTGCTGAAATGTCTGCCACCAATGTCAGTTTCCTCTGATCTTGGCTATTGCCTGTGTCTTCTTCCTGTGCTCCAGCTGACTGTCTGAGACCCTCTCTGCTTTGCAGCATGTTTCCTTCATCCATTTGTATACCTGCCAGTCATTGTCACAAGGAACTTCCTGCTTCATCCCTGCTTGACAAGGTTAAGCCAGACTGATGATCTGCAGTTGTGCTTCACTTCATCTCTCCCTCCTCCACCCTGCTCTCCCCCCCCCGCCCAGATTATTTCTGAGCAAATGTGAACTCTGTGGTATGTGTTCATTGCTGAAGGAAGGCCAAGTGTTAGCCTCTATATTTCCACATTGGCTAATTCTCCAAGGAGTGAGAATGTAATGACATCTATGGGGTGGAGGGGAGGATAGAGGAAACTGCTCTCTCCCCCCCCAGCCCCCAACCTTCTCCCCTCCCAATCTTCAGGAATGAACTTTAAAGCCAAATCTGCCTGTCTTACTTAGGCGTCAGTTCACGCACTGCTGGAAATCCTGAGCGATGGGATTGCAGGAATCATACGAAGATATTGTTAGGAGTATTGCTGTCTTGATTACTGAAATGAGCCTATCACCAGGCAGCTAACAGAATTCAGAGGTACCCGATTCTAGAGCAGATTTATGCTAAGTCATTTTTACCAAAGGTAATGCATGAAAAAACCCCACATGTGCCTGGGAGATTCTGCAGGAGGCTGCAAGCCCAGGAAGCACAATAATAGTAATAATAATTTATTATTTATACGCTGCCCATCTGGCTGAGTTTCCCCAGCCACTCTCCCAATCAAGTGTTAAAAACAATACAGCATTAAATATTAAAAACTTCCCTGAACAGGGCTGCCTTAAGATGTCTTCTGAATGTCAGGTAGTTGTTTATCTCTTTGACATCTGATGGGAGGGCGTTCCACAGGGAGGGCGCCATTACTGAGAAGGCCCTCTGTCTGGTTCCCTGTAGCCTCATTTCTCGCAATGAGGGAACTGCCAGACAGCCCTCGGTGCTGGATCTCAGTGTCTAGGTTGAACAATGGGGGTGGAGACGCTCCTTCAGGTATACAGGACCTCTCCTATATAATTTTGTTACAGCACAAGTGCGGAGAGTGCTCAGGGAAACTTTCCTATCCCAGTGTTGTTTAGGACCTTTCCACCCTTTAAATGTGGGTCTCCCAGTGCTTTATTCTTTTTTTAGGGGGGGGGGAAGGTGCTGGTAATCACCATGAATTCATTACAATAAGTGCCACACTTTTAACATGGGTGTGTGTGTGGGGGGGTTACTGCATACCCTTGAGTACCCGGGGGGGGGGGGAAGCACTACACATGATGGCCATTTCTGACTTTTCAAAGCTCAAAAAGATCTGGGACAACACTGGGATGGGGAGGACGTAATGTGGACGTCCCTCTATTAATGAGACAGGCAGGTGCAAAGCCACATATTGCTCAGGTGTGGACAAGCCCCAGGATGCCAGACTAGGTGGCCTGATCCAGTAGGGATTGTCTTATGTTATCGTGTTACAGTCTCATCCATATGGCAACGTGATATGTGCAGCCGCTGCAGTTTTGAAGAGTTAAAAGGTACGTTTCCCTATTTTGCCGCATCCCGGTATATTATAGCTTGCTTCCAGACTGGTGTTCCAGACTGTGGGATTGGCACTGCTCTCACATACACCCCCATGACATCAGCATCAAAATGCTGGGCTGTGTTTCATTCCTTTTATATTCAGAGTCACAGTTTTCACAGAAAATCAGGTAAGTAAAAACAAACAAAGAAAAACCTGCTGCCAACGTCCCATTTGCAATGTCTGAACGGCCAGTTTGCAGTATTCAGGCTCCAGCTGGAAGGACCCATAGACATTTCAGTTGCCGCATAACTGGGGCGGGGATAGGGCAGGATGCAATCATATTGTACACTTCAAATGTTTGTGCACAGCACTAGCAAAGGTGCAAGATCCTGCTGGTGGGTAAATACGTATCGGAAGGTATATGCTTGAGGGTTTCCTATAGACATGTAGCTGGCCACTGTGAGAACAGGATTCTGTTCCAGATAGGATTCAGCAGGGCTCTTCTCTGTGGCGTAGCTAGCCGCTCGGGTGCCGGGTGCAGTCCGTGCGTCCTGCAGCCAGGGGTGGGGCGAGCAGCCCAATGGGGGCAGGGCAAGCCACCCATGGGGCCAGGGTGTGCTGTGTGGAGCCTCTCTGCCACCTCCCCTTCAGCTGTAGAGCAGCTGAGGGAGAGGCGGAGGGCAGATGCAAGTCCCATGCTGCCGTTTCAGGCAGCGAGGAGCCTGCAGGCACCCAAGCCACCATGTCACTCCCAGGAGAGACGTGTGGCTCAGGCACGCTGCAGGCCCTATGGTAAGTGCTGGCCTCCGTGGTGTGGCGCCCAGTGCCAGCCACGTTTCGTTACATTTGTTGACTGAACTAAAACGTTTTGTGAGCTCATTTTTTTTAAAAAATAAAACTCCCCTATTTTTGTTATTTTGTCACCCCCCTCAGTGATGACCCCCCCACCCCTTTTCTCCGCCACTGGCTCTTCTTGTATTCTAGGTACTCTTTAAGAGTGAGGGAATATCCGCACTGGTGCTTGTTTCTTGCAGTTCCACTCACACAGCACATCAGCTTCCTGCACTCCACATAAACAGTAGGTTGCAAAATAGCAAAATTAAGTAAAAAAAATTCATTAATAATAAATTCCCACTGTGAAAAAAAGGTTTCAAGTGCTTATGCACACAATGTTAAGTAAATAAACCAGAAAATAACACTTGCAGCTCTAAGTATCTTATTTTTCCTTCTTTTAATAATTTCAATGGCGGGGGGGGGGGGGCTGACAAGAAATTTTCCACATCGGGTACCACCTAAGCTTCCTACGCCACTGCCCCCCCTCAGCTCATCAGTCAGGCTCTGAGTCCAAAGCCAGCCCCTCTCCTTGCCCCTTTTCAATGGAAGACAATAACACAATGAAATTCAGAACAGTAACAATTTATTGCATGTTTATTCAAAATCAATTAAAAACTATTTCGTTTAAGTAATGCAAGAAAATCGATCAGCTTGATCCAGTGACACCAGAGAGAGCCATTTTCATTTGGAAGATGCAGTGAGCTTTTTTTTCTCCTGCTCTGGACGGTAGGACTTGAACCAATGGCTTCAGGATACAACAAAGGAGATTCCGACTGAACATTGTTCAACAGAGGAATGGACTCCCCTGTAAGGTGATGGACTCTCCTTCCTTGCAGGTTTTAAAGCAGAGATTAGATGGCCATCTGTCATGGATTCTTTCTTTCTTTCTTTCTTTCTTTCTTTCTTTCTTTCTTTCTTTCTTTCTTGTTCTGCCCAATCTCAGTCCATATTTTATGGCTGCTTAAATCATCTGTCCCCCTCCTGATTCTCAGCGAGTGCCTCTTCTTCTGCCTGTCTTTGGCCAGCTGAGACGTCCAAATCACAACTCCTCAATGATGATGTCATCTGGATGGAAAAGAATGAAAAAGAGAGAAAATCTGTTCAGTCCTCTCGGGCTTCTTGTAGCTGGAGTCAGTCTGGGTGCTGCCCTCCCAGGGCAGGTGGGAAAGGCCTGCCAGGCAGGGAGCAGGTCCTGCAGGACTCCCAGCAAGAAGACCTGGGAGGTGTGTCTTGGGCAAAGAAGGGACAAGGGAGTTCACTGTCCCCAAGGTGTGGGGCTTGCTTACCTTCTTTCAGATTATTTCTGAAGCACGCCAGCTCCGGCCGAATCACTGTGTTCTGCAGAGGAAAGACAAATCTGAGTCAGTTGACATTATGAACCCCACCCTGGATGGGTGTAAGAGAAGCAGCCCCACCCAGGAAGGATGGAAGCAACCAAAGAACTGAATACAGGAAAGCAAAATACTTACTCTTAGGTTTGGGAATCTTCGTGAAAGGGCCAGCAGCAGGGATATACTGCTGGCCCCTAATTTTCTTTGGTCTTCACTCCCCAAAAGGGCGTAATATCGGAGGTCCTGCAGGATGAAAGAAATGGGACAGTTAGTTGGGTAAGGGACAGCGGGGCAACCCTAAAACCACTCCTGATGCTATCAGGATACTTACGGTAAGCAACTGGAGAAGGGTGCTAGTATTGGGGGCTTCTAGGAGGAGACCCCCCAGCAGGCTCTGGAATGGTCTCTTCAGCTCCTGTGGGAAAAGAGAGAAGAGAGGTTGAGTGCTGCTGGGTTAAATTTTGTAAGAGTGTAAAAAGAAGAAAGAGCTGTGCAAAGAGAACTTAAAGCAGAGGACATACCTCTTTGTCCTCCTCTGCGCTCCCCAGAACTGCCTCTGTTGTTCTATGGAGGATTGCACTCACCATCAAGGAACTGAAGTGGGGTCTCATAAAACTGGAGAGAGAGAGGGAAGGGGTTAGACACTGCCTCCTCCAAGTCCCCCTTGTCCCCTTCTCCCTCCTGCCTGACTTGCCCACCCAAAGCTCCCCCTGGAGTTCTGCCCCCCTGCAGCCCCACCCACCCCAAAGACCCCACTCACCTCAACTGCAGGAGGGCCTCGAAGGCCAGGGCCAGGCTCAGGGGGCGATCCCTGAAGTACTCCAAGTGGCCAAGGATGTTCTAGAAGAGAGCAGAGGAGGAAAGTCAGCTCCTTCCAGGAGTCTCCAGAGGACGGCTCCAACCCCAAACGCCAGCCCCTCTCTGCCCCTCCCTCCCCATGGGGGTCCCTCACACCACCCATCACTCACCAGAATGGCTTTGGTTGTCTCCTCCTTGGAGTACTTCAGGGTTCGGAGCCCCCCTGAGCCGAGCTGCCTGGCAGTCCTGGATGATGCCCAGGAGATACAGCTGATCTTTGTCTAGCAGCTGAAAGGCAAAAATCAGGCTGTCAGTTCCTTATGGGGGGAGGGCTCCTCCACATCTGAGAGTGCAGAGTGGAGTGCAAGAGGGGGGCAGGTCCGAGGGATCCCCTTCCTGCTCTCGTTTTATCCAATACTCACCGCAGCGGAAGGGATGTGGATTCCCAGCACATCTGCAAAGTGAAGGACATGGGGATTGGTGAGTTCCTCCCTGAGCCCCTTGCAAGGCTTTTCCAAGAGTTTTCTCCTGGATTCCAAGTCCAGGATTCCAAGTACAGGAGAAGGACACCCCAGGCCTTGGGGGCCAATCCTAACCTCCTGCCCCCAGAACATGGCTCCCCAGGGAAGATGCCCCTCCCACTGACAACTGTCCCCCTGCCTTGCCCCACAGCCCAGCCCCCTGCTTCCTCCAACAGACCCTACAGAATAGGGTGGTTGCTGGGGGGGGGGGGCAGTTGAGTTTCCAGATGCTGTCGTAGATAGGCGGGTTGGATCCAGCCATCTGGCTCTGTGCATCTTTTTACTAGATGCCCCCCCAGCCCATTCCTGCCCTCCTCCATCCCCAAAAGGAGGGCCACTTGCTCACCCGACACCGTGGGCTGCTCCAGGACTTCTAGGGGGGCCACCTTCTTGCAGCTGATCAGCCGCCTTAAGCGCCTGAACCTAGAAGAGACGAGCACAGAGAGCGACTCAGAAGCTGGCAGCCCCAATTCGTGTGTGTGTGAGAGAGAAGGGGCCTCTGGCCCAATTCCTGCCATCTCTCTGCAGTTCTGCGACCTGAAAGGGCATCGGCAGAGGTGGAAAAAGGCAGCCCAGAGCATGAATGGCTGGCAGAGAGAGAAAGGAGGCCCCAAGTGGTATGGGTTCAAGAGCTCCAACCCAAAGGAAAGACAAGCATTGCTAGCTGTTAAAGGGCTGCTCTGCCTTGTCTTCTTAGGACTGTCGCAGGAAACCGCCCCCCCAATCATTCAGTTTGTACAAACTTCACACTCACACACTCAACACTCACACACTACATACGCTACGCTTCTGTTATAAATCCATAGAAAATCAACCATACATCGGATTTGCACTGTTCCACTTTTATTTTACTCCATGAAGGAAGGACTACAAAATGGGGAAGGTTTGATACAGGGCAGCCATAATCCCTTGAGCATACCAGCACATACACAGGAGCCCTGCCCAGTTGCTATGCCAACCCTGATGGTCCTAGACAGAAGACCATCAAGATCACAAAGAACTTGCATATGGGAGTGGATTCAACACTGACTGGAACAAAGGACAATGATCAGCTCTTCCCTCTGGGGGCAGGAAACTGCAAGCTCCCCTTTATCACCTGGAAAGTACTCATGGGGAGGGGGGAAAGGAGGAACCAGCCAGCTGACAGGACACTCAGGTTACCACCACAACTCCTCCCTCAACCCCTCCTTTCTGTGATGTAGGTGTGCTGTATCTGAGGGGTGGTCTTAGGTTACACCCCTTCTGTGATGTACGTATGATGTTTCTGGGGGTGGTCTTGATCTACAGGGTGGCAATTCCAAAAGTCTTTATAAGGCCTTGCACATCATTTTTCTGGGTTCCTCCTCTCTCCCGCAGGTGAGGGGAGCCCCCTGTTGCAACAGATCAATAAAGGCCAAGCCTACAGGCTACTGTTTTGCTCCAAGTTATCCTGGTTGGTGTCTTTGTTTTTGTCCAAGGGAGCCCTCGGATTTTTCCATTAACAGTTTGGTGACCATGCTCAGGGACTCTTGGTTCTCCTGTGAAGGTGAGGGGGGAGATAGAGGGGATCGGGCGCCACTGGGCAATCTTAGCCCAGGGATCCTTTTCCCTCTCCCTGCCTCCTCTTTGCGGGCGGTAATCAATCGTCACCAGAAAGCTCAACCAGGGGAGCAAAGGAAAGGTCAAGCCGGCCGAAGAAAAGGATCCCGGGATCCACGAGGGACATTCAAGGACGTGAGTATGGTTTGAAGTTAGTACATTGGGAGGGGGGTGGAAGAATAATGTCTCCACGGCAGCTGAACTTTTCTTTTTTCCTCTCCTTGGCGTCTTCTCTCGGAGTGTGGCTGGAAGCGTCCTGGAAGTCCTTCTCTCTCTCTCTCTCTCCTGATTCCCTTCTTCGGAGCATGACCAAAGGGATCATGGAAAATCTCTTTTTCTCTCTCCTTGACATCTTCTCTCGGAGCGTGGCCGGAAGTGTCCTGGAAGTCCTTCTCTCTCCCTCTCCTGATTCCCTTCTTCGGAGTGTGGCCAAAGGGATCATGGAAAATCTTTTTTCTCTCCTTGACACCTTCTCTTGGAGCGTGGCCAGAAGGGTCGTGGAAAATCTCTCTCTCTCTCTCTGTCTGTCATTTGCTTCCTTTCAAACCTTTGTCTTCTCGGACCCCAATCTGGCACTGCACTGTGCAAGCGTCCAGTAGGGAATTCGGACATAGTTCTAAGGTCAGGCAGGAGGCTGTCGTGGACGGTAGAGCGAGAGGTTCGGGAAGAAGACGGGGCCCGCACTAGGATTAGTTTTGTGAGCAGCGCTGAGTGAATTCCAGATCCGTGGTTTTTCCGGGTTAAGAGACCCGTGGTTTCCAGGCTAGTTGCCTGTGGTTTTAGTTGTAGGCAGGGATTGCCTTTGTATTTCTACTGGCCTTCTCCGGTTCCGATCCGTCGGAGTTTTGCCCAGAAAGGGCCGAGAGGGGCACTTGAGTGTTAGACTGAATAATACTGATAGGATATTCTTTTCTCTTCCCCTCCCTCTTTGTCCCTCTCTTGTATCTCTGTTTATGTATCTCCTTGTGTAGCTTGTTATCGAGCAACCCCACCCCCCTTGCTATTAAAGGAAAATGGGAGCTCACTCTTCTAAACACCCTAGCTGGACTCCTCCTGGCAACAAAGCTTCTGTGAAGCCTTTTTCCCCCAGAGAGGATTCTGATACCCCCCTCCAGTTTGTTATCTCCAACTGGGCAAATAAAATAAAATAAATTAAAGGGACAAAATGGTCTTTCCAAGTACAAATTGCGAGACTGTTGTAACTTTTAGTGGGTGGCTTAGGCCCACCACCTGGAACCCAGGGCACAGCGGCCACCTCAGGGATCCTTCAACAAAATCAGGGTGTGAACCCTTAAGGAGAACTGAGCACATCAAATTTGTGTTGTTAAACTATAACCTAAAGCTAGAACATGAAACCGTAAACTTAATGGTGCTCAGAAGGCAATAGATATAATAATAACCCAGCCTGAGAGCCCACGCAGTAGAGATCTTAGTTTCTCTAAAAATGAATAAGAGATGTACTCAAAGGTTTAGAAATATTTAAAGGGTTTGTGTTTACATTGGCTTTGGCATCCACAGACTGTTCTTAAGTGCACATAGTTTTTAAATTGCAAGCTTGCTTCAAAAATTTTAAATCTAAGGAAGCCATGGTGGGCCTTATCAATCTTAAACAGGACAAAAATGAGAATGAAGTGTGCAAATGTTTGTTATTTGAGAGAGGCTCCAAAGAGAGACTTCCTCCGAGTGGTAAAAAGAAAAAAAGGGGAAAAAATCCTGTATATGTGCTTACTTGTGTTCTGAAAGGAGAATTGCCCCACCTCTTTCCTCTATAGCTTAAGTGAGGAGGATGATTTTAAGTTGACGGTAAATGATGTTTTGTTGCAACTTTTGAGTTTGTGAGTCTACATCCGTGTTCCAGTTTTTTTGTTCCAGTATTTTGGAATGTGCTGTGAAGAAACTAATGTTTCTGCTGCAAAAGCCTAGTTGAGCACAACTGCTCTCTCAAGCTAAAATGCAGTGTCTGTATTTCATTAAGCATATGCCTAAAAAAATAATAATAAATGGTGTTCCTTCTAAGAAAATTTGTTATTAAAAGGTAGAAGCTCCCATAGTCAGCAATTGTCTATCTGAGTCCTGATATCAGTCTCTATAAGACTTCCTGGCCTCTTTTCTTGGAAAATGCCCCTCCCCCTGTTTCAGTCTTTTTCAATTCCCCCCCCTTCTTACTTCTGTGCCAGGTAAATTTACTCCTGAGTAAGCTTCCTTTAAAAGGAAACTGCGGGGAGGGGGGGCAATCTTTGCTAAAGGTACCCTGCATCTCAATTTCCTATGTGTGGTAATTTTAAAATCCTTATTAGGTTTACTATTCCTATGCAAGTTCAGAAAAATTGTTCACTTTTGTATTCCTTTTAAATCAAATCTATGGCTGTTTTATTATTTGTGAGCGGTTATATAAATTGAATTAACCCTATGGTTATAAAATATTCTCTCCCTGATTCTCTTCCTATCTTATCTTAGGAAAACTGTTCTTCCTTTAAAGATCATTTCTCTAGGAACTTGCACTCTTTAGTAAACTCTCACTCAAATTAGTTTCAAGATCTGCTAAAAGGGTTCTGTATAAAGTTGGGTACTTTTATTTTCCTCTTCCTTAGTACATGTGTGTGCTTGCTGTGTTTTCTTTCCCAGTTGCGCATCTATACTTAAATGTGTATCTCTTTGGTAGTACAAATCTTGCTGTGAAATCTTGATGTGAACCCTATATTTTGGAGGGTTGGACTAGATGACCCCAGGGTCCCTTTCAACTCTCCCAATTTGTGGCTGTGTGGAAGGTCATGTGTCTGCAAGCATTGGAGGGTAATTCTTAAATTCTGGTGTGGTGATGAGTTGAAATTCAGCCCAGCTTTGCTCTTTGTTTTTTAAAAGGTGAGAGGTGAAAGCCGTGATGTTTTGAAGCAGAACTGGTAATATCAAGCATTTGAGTGATTACAGTGTTTATCATTTTGTCTATTATTTACAAACATCAGACTTAAAAGTCTTTTCAAAGTTTAAGCGCATACAAATTCATAATCAAGTAGAATGAGCCTTGACCATCCTGTAAATAAAGGGCAGAAAATTTTGTCTGCAAATGGTAAGGCTGAAATGACTGAGAATGTTAAAGATCCTATGAATTCTGACTCTCTGGCCATTTTTACTCATAAATAAGAGAACGGTTGATTGTTCCGCGAATGACCAGAGGGGCAGCACAAAATAATGATAGCCCTTTCCTGCACATAAAGAAAGCACTCCCTTTGCTTGGGCTGCAGGAAACATGATCCCTTAGAACTGAGTTAACAGAAATTTAATTTGACCAACTTCTATTGTTAGCTAAGTTTCTTGTTTTGTTTTAAATCTAAATCTATTTTTTAAATCTACTCCTTACCCTTCCCTTCCTTTATTCTAATTTAGCCAAAAGATGCAACACTTTCAATGGTATAAAAGGTTTGCTGAAATATCATTCAAAATATACCTTCAAAAATATTGTAATATAAAAGACTGTTAGAAAGAGGTTGGAAAATGAAAATTAGGTCGTTTTGGTAGATATGATATAAAGGATTAAGTAAAATGAGTTGATGAAATTGACGAAATAGAGGAGGTTTAATTACCTTATTTTAAATTAAAATACGTAAATGAAAATAAGGTTAGAAGGATTTGCTGGAAATACGATCTGAACTAGAATACAAAACTGGGAGGTGAGAGGAGGTCATGGACATAAGTAAAGGGAAAAGGCTATGTAAAGGTTTAATTTGTTTTTGTCTCATTTTAACTTAATGCATTTTTATACTTTTTGTTAAGTCTTCTTTTTTTATTCTATTTTATTGTTCATTTTTATCTTTTTACTTTTCGCTTTGTTAAGGTTAAATTTTTCTTTGTATTTTGTAAGGTTTTTCTTTCTCTTTTTTGTAACTTTAAATTTGGAATAAATATAATTTAAAAAAATAAAAATAAAGGTTTGCTGAAATATGAACTCTGCACATGCACAGAGGCTAGATCAGCTTAAAAAAAGGAGGGGAAAGGTTGGAGAGCGTGGGCTGCAGGGAGAAACTCATCCAAATTTCCTTGTGTAAACTTGGAACCATTGAGGGAAATCACCCTTAATGTCTCCTTTGCTCCAGGGGTTAAGTACAAAAGGGTTAAGTACTGGACCATCAAAAGTCAAGAGTTTGCCAAGTTTCAAATCTTAACATGCCAAATTCTTTTCACAGGTAAATATCAAAGCACTCCCACTGTGAGTTCCTCTCTTGAGTAGTCCCCCCCCCCAAATGGGATTTAAATTTTATAACAGATTTTGTTTGTGTGCATTTTAGGAACAGCATTTCCTGACAGACTTCTCACATGAAATAATTTTCCCTTTTAACAGGATATGGGAACCTCTAACAAAGTGTTTGTCCCTTCTTTTCTCCCACAAAAAAAAAGTGTGTGGGGGGGATACAAACAGCAATTTAAATATTCTGTACCCAAGATTCTCAGAAAAGTCATTGCATTTGTATTTCTTTTCGTCTTTCTTCCCTTACAGCCAAACAGTCACTTTCTTTCTGTTCTGCGAAACAAGTCTGAATCCCTGCTATATTAGTTGACTTTCCTCTATTTCTTTATGGCTTTGACACCTTTTAAGTTACAAATAATCTGTTTTCATTTATTAAATCAGTTTTTCCATGATGCCTATGAAATTAATCGAAGCACAAACAAACATTGTTTGTGGAATGGTATTTGTTTACCTTTTTATCAGATAGCACATGGTGAATTTTAAGCTTTTTTCCCATTGTTTTTCCATTTTTTCAGTCCAGTAGTAATCTGTGTGGTTTTGATAATATCTTTGTATTATTGGTTGGTGTCTTTGTTTTTGTCCAAGGGAGCCCTCGGATTTTTCTGTTAACAGGGCAGCCCTGCCCTTCCTGGTGAGGGAGGAGACTCTGGTCCCTGGTGGACCAGAGAGCTAAAGCTATGGAGGGGACCCAGGACTCATACCCTGCCCCCAGGAGACCAAGAGAAAGCAAAGGAATGGTACTTACAGCCGGCACATCTTCTTGATGAAAAATCCCCTCCCCCTATCTAAGCTACCTACCTAGCTAAAATTCCCACCCAAGCCTGATCCCAAACTCTGATCCCACCCCCAAACCCAGCCCTAACGCTAAACCTAACCCCCACCCTAACCCTACACTTACCCCTAACTATTCTTCTATAAACAAAAGAAATATATTCAAAAATGTGCACAAATGCTCGCAAATGCACACAAATATGCGCAAATACACACAAATGCGTGCAAACACACACAAACGTGCACAAATGCACACAAATATGTGCAAATGTGCGCAAATATGTGCAAATGCACGCAAATATGCACAAATGCGTGCAAATGCGCACAAATATGCACAAATGTGCACAAATGCGCACAAATATGCAAAAAATAAAAAATAAGAAATAAAAGAAATAAAAAAATAAAAAATAAAAACAAATAAAAAATAATAATAAAAAAAATAAAAAATAAAAATAAAAAGTAAAAAATAAAAGTGTTAAAATAAAAAAGGTAAAATAAAAAATAAAATAAAAATAAAAAAATAAAATGAATCAAATAAAAGTAATAAATAAAATAAAAAGAAAAATAGCAAGCAAACCTCTCCTCTTCTACAACTACCACCACCACCACCACTACCTCTCTCTCCTGACTCTCCTCACTAACCCACAATGGCCGCCTGCAAGTCAAAGGCTTTTAAGGGAAGAGCAAGAGATGTCACAAAGGAGGGCAGGTCCTTGTCACCATGGCAACCCCTCCACCTGGACCTGGCTCCTCCTGAGAGGTGATGCTTATCTGTCAGAACTTGGAGGTGCCTTCTGTTCCGACTGCAGCTGGGCTGTATCTTCTATCCACAGATTCACATCGGCATTTCACGTCCTTCTTGCTGCAGCCCCATTTCCAAAGGGAGACCACCCCCACATCCTTCAAGGCAGGCTAGGGGTCTCCATAGCACAGCATTGGACCATCTGCTTTGCATGCAGGCCTTCTGTCCTGGGAATGTCCCCCCCCCCATCGAAACCCTGGATAGCTGCTGCCAGTCAGCGCAGGATAGAAGAAGGATATTGAGCAGCTGGAAGGTGAGCAGAGGAGGGCGACCAGGATGATGAAGGGTCTGGAAACCAAGCCTGATGAGGAACAGTTGAGGCAGCTGGGTATGTTTAGCCTGGAGAAGAGGAGAGAGGAGAGCCATCTTCCAATATCTGAGGGCTGCAAGAGGGAGCAAGCTTGTTTTCTGCTGCTCCAGAGGGGAGGGCAGGAGAGGAGATTCGGACTAAACATTAGCAAGAACTTTCTGACGGTAAGACTATCTGTGATGGTGGTGGACTCTGCTTCCTTGGAGGCTTTTAAGCAGAGGTTGGATGCCAATCTGCAAGGGATTCAGCTGCAATTTGGGAAGCGCATGGCACTGGCCTACTTTACAGGGTTGTTGTAACCACACAAGGCTGTTGAGCATCTGAAAGTGCCTGGCAAATGTTGAGCCTTCCATTTCATTGTGGGGAACAGCACGTCAGGAGGCGTCCCTCAACTTCCGTTTCTTCTCTCTCCTGCAGCCAAGGGGGCCGGGCTGGATTACCAAATAGGCAGAGTAGGCACTGGCCTATGGGCCCCACACATTTTAGGGGTCCCGTCACAATGGATCAAAATAAGATTGATTTGATCTTGAAAGAAAACAACAAACAAGCTTTCTTAGTTCAAGGTTATTCCAGTGTGCGCACGAGGCCTGCCTCCCTGCCCAGATTTTGGCTGCCAAGGGGCCTCCACAGGGTTTAATCCAGCACTGCCTCACAAACAGCCCAGTATATCTGAAGGAGCGTCACCACCCCCATCGTTCAGCTCCATCCCCACCCACTGAGGTCCAGCTCCGAGGGCCTTTTGGCAGTTCCCTCACAGCGAGAAGTGTTCCCTGGTTACAGGGAACCAGACAGAGGGCCTTCTCGGTAGTGGCACCCACCTTGTGGAATGCCCTCCCATCAGATGTCAAGGAAATAAACAACTGTCTGACTTTTAGAAAACATCTGAAGCAATTTCCCCAAATACTTTCGTATGCTATTTTCACTAACCAATACAACACTAGGCACATTTTACTTGGAAAACTGCACTGAAAAACCTGAAGACGTGCAAATTATGAAGTATAGCTGCTTTGGAGCTTGCACTTTGTTGAGAAGTACGTATTAGGCACTTTCTCACTGAAATGCAACCAAAGTTGAGTTCTCCCTCCATGATAAGGTGGTATGAACACTATAATTATATCTCCCAATTTCAGTCTCATGCAAAAATATTTCAGGCCATATACAGCCATGATGGGCAAAAGAAACAATGGTTAATATAATATAATATAGTACATAATATAGTACATAATATAAAAAAAGGTAAAGGTAAAGGTACCCCTGCCCGTACGGGCCAGTCTTGACAGACTCTAGGGTTGTGCGCTCATCTCACTCTATAGGCCGGGAGCCAGCGCTGTCCGCAGACACTTCCGGGTCACGTGGCCAGCGTGACAAGCTGCATCTGGCGAGCCAGCGCAGCACACGGAACGCTGTTTACCTTCCTACTGGTAAGCAGTCCCTATTTATCTACTTGCACCCGGAGGTGCTTTCGAACTGCTAGGTTGGCAGGCGCTGGGACCGAACGACGGGAGCGCACCCCGCCGCGGGGATTCGAACCGCCGACCATGTGATCGGCAAGTCCTAGGCGCTGAGGTTTTACCCACAGTGCCACCCGCGTCCCCCCATGTACATAATATAGTCCATAATATAATATAATATAATATAATATAATATAATATAATATAATATAATATAATATAATATAGCAGTCATCTGAACCTGTCTCTGGCAGTAATCAAGACTCACAGACACCTTGTAAGGCAGGGAACAGAAATAAAGAAAAAGATCGCAGTAAATATGTCAGCCAAGCAGTTTGGACTCCTAAAGTTTATGTTGTCATGGAAGCCAAATGCAACATTTGGTATATCCAAACTGGCTTTTGGCGGCCAATGCAGCCAGAAGTACAATAAACCTGTAATTCCTCAGGATGTCTGCCTTCACTAGGTGCATCGCAACAGCTTCTGAGCTACAAATCTCCCTCTTTGGCTGTTTGCGCTTCTTCCTGAGAGAGGGGGTCTTACAGTTAATTTCAAACGCAATTAAAGTTCAAAGATTTACCGCGGTGATGGGGGTCTCCTCCAGATGTTGCTAGCTTACTACTAGCATCAGTCCCAGCCGGCGTGGCCAACAGACAGGGATGATGGAAACTATGGTCCCAAGCAACCAGAAAACCAAGGAGACAGCACTAACAGGAAAAGATGCTAGCTGCTTGAGGAAAGATTCCATTCAGGCCTGACACATTTCAGAGTACGGTCAAACCTTGGTTCCCGAATGGCTTAGTTGCTGAACAAATCGCCTCCCGAATGCAGCAAACCTGGAAGTAAGTGTTTGCGAGCGTTTTTTGGGAGCTGAACGTCCGACGCAGCTTCCGCTTGAGTGCAGGAAGCTCCTGCAGCCAATCGGAAGCCGCGCCTTGGTTTTCAAACGGTTTCGGGAGTCGAATGGACTCCTGTAACGGATTAAGTTTGAGAACCACGGTACCACTGTCGTCATCATAAACTTTATTGCACTAGCCAAACTCCATGGCATCATTCATAAAGGAAACAGAAACAAAAATAACCATAAAAACCATAAAAACACCAGGCACTGCAAATACAATAAACCACGGTCACATCTCCTAGAAATTATTTGTTGTGTACGATAGAATAGCAGGGGGTTCTCAGATAGAATGTGCCAGCTTAAATGTCCGAATCAGCTTTGCAATTGGCCGCTATTTTATCTAGTTCTTTTCTCCGGATCTTCTTAGCTGCCAACGCATATAGTGCTACTTTGTAAGTTACGAAGTCATCAGTATCACTCAGCAGCCATTTCACCCTTTCTGCCCTGTTCGAGTGTGTTCCGTTCGCAAGCAGGGTTTTTTTTTATAAATCAGTCTCTTGGTTCTATATATAGCAGGCATTGCAATAAATAGTGGTACAGGTCCTCTACGCAAGGTTGTCCACACAGGTAAAGTCTCTCCTTGTACTGTACTTTGCTGTACCGACCATCCACCACCGCCGAGGGCAAGGTACCACTGTAGTTCTTCCTCAGGGGCACGTAGCAATGGTCATTGAGTTCTTGAACCATGGCAGTGACCCATTTCCACTGCAGTGGTCCATGCACTTGATAGGAAACACACCCCAAAAGAAGCACTATTTCCCCCTAAGTGCATCATGATAATGCAGATTGTACCTTCTTTGACGCGAGCTCAAGAGAGAACAGGGAGTCCACCACCGTGACACACATTTCATTAGCTGAAACACTTCTGCTGTTCAGCGTGGTCTGTAGTTATCCAAGTTGTAAGAGGAGCACTTACGCCTGCCTCCTTACCCTGTAATTACCGTATTTTTTGCTCTATAAGACTCACTTTTCCCCTCCTAAAAAGTAAGGGGAAATGTATGTGCGTCTTATGGAGCGAATTCAGGCTGCACAGCTATCCCAGAAGCCAGAACAGCAAGAGGGATTGCTGCTTTCACTGCGCAGCGATCCCTCTTACTGTTCTGGCTTCTGAGATTCAGAATATTTTTTTTCTTGTTTTCCTCCTCCAAAAACTAGGTGCGTCTTGTGGTCTGGTGCGTCTTATAGAGCGAAAAATACGGTATGTAAAAAAAGGGAATCCTCTGACTCTCTCTAAGACCAATATTATGCAGGCTAGCTAAAAATGATTCTTTATCTGTATAGACTTGCTCATTCATTGTCCTCCCTAATCCTCTAGTTTTTCCATAATTATCTGGATGAAACTCGAACGTAGAGTTCCATGCCCCTTATAAACTGCAATGGCCACCACCTGTAATTATTATTATTATTTATTTCATTTCTATACCGCTTTACGTTTTCAAGAAAAAAACCTCAAAGCCGTTTACAACACATTTAAACATCAAATAAAACAACCCAGAATAAAACATTATTGAAGAAAGTATACATTCAAAGCAATATACAGTGGTACCTCGGGTTACAAATTTAATTCATTCCAGAGGTCCGTTCTTAACCTGAAACTGTTCTTAACCTGAGGTACCACTTTAGCTAATGGGGCCTCCCACTGCTGCTGTGCCGCTGCCATGTGATTTCTGTCCTCATCCTGAGGTAAAGTTCTTAACCTGAGGTACTAGTTCCGGGTTAGTGGAGTTTATAATCTGAAGTGTTTGTAACCCGAGGTTTTTGTAACCTGAGGTACCACTGTAGTTAACAGGAAACTAAAGCATTGTCTTAAATATTTCAAAACAAAACGTTATGAAGGTGGTCAACTACAGCATTAACACAGCAAAGTTAACAAAAACAACCACAACCTTAAGCATTTTAAAAAAAAGCATCCGAAAGGAAGTCAACTATAAAATGCACATTTAAAATAGCACAATTATCAAATCTGTTATGATTTGATACTTGTTTAGTATTCTACTTAATTAAATTTCAGCCAGTTCCTGGCTCTCCTATGATCATGGCAGATGTGTGTGCGAGAGAGAATTGTGCATCATATTTAGAAAATGACCTGGTTTGAACTTTGGTGAGCTACCAGAGGGAGGATGTTATTTACCCGGCATGCAATTATTGAGAACTTAGGACTTCTGGGGTTTCCTGAGAGATGCGCCATCATTTCCTATTGAGCCAGCTGGGCCTGTCTGCATCACAGTAGGTTTAGCTGTTGTCATTTTCCACCTAAGGTACCTTGGGAACTGTAGTTCTTTGAAACGTTCTATAGCAAATGAAGCCAGGATTGTTTGAGGGTGGGGTGGAATGGTAGTTGATTAAACTGGCTTTCGTGAAGTTTAGAATCTGTTGTGTAGTAATGGGGAGCTCTAAATGTGTTCCTCCCCATGAGTTTACTCAAGGCAGCCTGGCAATTCATCATGCACCAGCTACCACATGACTTCATGGAATATCTGACAATATTTGTGGGGGTTAAATAGGAGGAAGGTTAATTAACTAGTGTCAGTGACAATTTTGACCAGTTTTTTGTCTGATGTGCCAACCTGAGATTAATGGTATCCTGAAAATGGTAGCATGAACCTGTCTACAAGAGACAACACACACTTGCTAGCTTATTTTCATTGAAGTGAATGGGGCAGTGGGAATTATTTGAGGAGAGTGTCCACTCTCATCACTTCCCGTTGGACATTATCCAGTGTGGTGTAGTGGTTAAGAGCGGTAGACTCATAATCTGGCGAACTGGGTTCGCGTCTCCGCTCCTCCACATTCAGCTGCTGGGTGACCTTGGGCTAGTCACACTTCTCTGAAGTCTCTCAGCCCCACTCACCTCACAGAGTGTTTGTTGTGGGGGAGGAAGGGAAAGGAGAATGTTAGCTGCTATGAGACTCCTTCAGGTAGTGATAAAGCGGGATATCAAATCCAAATTCTTATTCTTCTTTTGTACACCCAAGTTAATGATCTGGGTCTCACACCGCAACCAATTCACTGAACAATGATTGTCTGCATCCAATGCAGTTGAGAGCAATTCCAACACGAGTATTCTGTTCTTTACATCACCTTCTGCTTTCTGTCTTCATTCACAATGTCATTCTGGTTCAGGGCCTTTTGAAAATGTGTTGCCAGATGGTCAGCCTGAGAATTTTCTGCTGGTTCTCTGAATGTCCCGATTGCCTTTCTGACAAGCCTTGTTCGACTCTCCTTCCCGTTTGGGTCATCATGTTGGGAAACATGAGATGTTACGTTAATCTCCAGCAGGCGATTTCAGACCTTTTAGATCCACTTATAACCTCACGATGAATTACTTCACTGTTTGGCAAATATTAAATAACATCTTTTTGTTGTGTGTGTTGCTGTGGCAGTGTCTGTGTCTGTGATCTTCGGGCTCCAGCTGGCTCCAGAAGCTGTTGCTGCTCAGTCTCAACTCGCCTGCCTCTTCCTCTCGCTTGTGTCCTCCTGTTGAAACACAGCTGGTTTGCATCTGTCAGGACGGATGGAGGGACATTTCAAACTAACCTGGCAAGAGCTGAGAAGATCCGGAGCTGCCAGTCTTGGAGAACAACTCTTGGCTCCCGCTGAGTACCGTATGCCTGAGCCTGAACCAATTATCTCGCGTTACACAATTAGGGAAATCGACTCGCTCCTCAATCCCCACATCCTTTCCACATTGCGTATTTCAAGGCTGATCCAAACATGCAGAAAGAGTGTGGGATGCCACTTCAGACAGCAGGTGGGAAGCTGCGATTGCAAATACACCCTTAGCAGGAAGCAAGCCCCACTGAGCTCCATAGATGTACTTACGAACTGACACACACCTGCTACGACTGACCGAACCCAAAGGGTGCTCATCAATGGTTCCTCTTCATCCTGGAGAAGAGTGACTAGTGGGGTGCCACAGGGTTCTGTCTTGGGCCCGGTCTTATTCAACATCTTTATCAACGACTTGGATGATGGACTCAAGGGCATCCTGATCAAATTTGCAGATGACACCAAACTGGGAGGGTGGCTAACACCCCAGAGGACAGGATCACACTTCAAAACGACCTTGACAGATTAGAGAACTGGGCCAAAACAAACAAGATGAATTTTAACAGGGAGAAATGTAAAGTATTGCACTTGGGCAAAAAAATGAGAGGCACAAATACAAGATGGGTGACACCTGGCTTGAGAGCAGTACATGTGAAAAGGATCTAGGAGTCTTGGTTGACCACAAACTTGACATGAGCCAACAGTGTGACGCGGCAGCTAAAAAGCCAATGCAATTCTGGGCTGCATCAATAGGAGTATAGCATCTAGATCAAGGGAAGTAATAGTGCCACTGTATTCTGCTCTGGTCAGACCTCACCTGGAGTACTGTGTCCAGTTCTGGGCACCACAGTTCAAGAAGGACACTGACAAACTGGAACGTGTCCAGAGGAGGGCAACCAAAATGGTCAAAGACCTGGAAACGATGCCTTATGAGGAACGGCTAAGGGAGCTGGGCATGTTTAGCCTGGAGAAGAGGAGGTTAAGGGGTGATATGATAGCCATGTTCAAATATAGAAAAGGATGTCACATAGAGGAGGGAGAAAGGTTGTTTTCTGCTGCTCCAGAGAAGCGGACACGGAGCAATGGATCCAAACTACAAGAAAGAAGATTCCACCTAAACATTAGGAAGAACTTCCTGACAGTAAGAGCTGTTCGACAGTGGAATTTGCTGCCAAGGAGTGTGGTGGAGTCCCCTTCTTTGGAGGTCTTTAAGCAGAGGCTTGACAACCATATGTCAGGAGTGCTCTGGTGGTGTTTCCTTCTTGGCAGGATGTTGGACTCAATGGCCCTTGTGGTCTCTTCCAACTCTATGATTCTATGATTCTATGATTCTATGATTCTATGATTCTATGAATGTTAGGGTACTAGGGATCAACAGCAGGACCCCTTGGTAGGTGCCTGAAGATGGCAACTCCTGATGCCAACCCTGTCTAAGTTGGCTTGGCATGTGGAGACTGGGGCTCTGACCTTTAAACAAAGCCAAAAGCACCAGATTAGAAGAATGATGGGGCTAGGATTGGGAAGAGGGGAGTGAAAGTGAGGAAAGTGCCATGCATAATGCTGGCCTGAGAGCCAGCAAATTCTCCTGCGAAGCCCTCTTGCCTTCATGCTTTTCTTGACCCCTTGACAGATCAAGTATCTTTCAAATCACAGTTGATTCCGCTGATGCTGTGATAAGTGCTATCTGTTAGAATAAGTGATCCTATTTGCCCAACCGAAGCATAAAAAAATGTTTCCATTAGCAAGTATGCCCTGTGATGTTTTAGACATCTCTAATATCATTTTACGGGACGTGGGTGGCGCTGTTGTCTAAACCACAGAGCCTAGGACTTGCCGATCAGAAGGTCACGGTTTGAATCCCTGCGATGGGGTGAGCTCCCGTTGCTCAGTCCCTGCTCCTGCCAACCTAGCAGTTCAAAAGCATGTCAAAGTGCAAGTAGATAAATAGGTACCGCTCCGGTGGGAAGGTAAACAGTGTTTCCGTGCGCTGCTCTAGTTCGCCACATGCTGGCCACATGACCAGGAAGCTGTACACCGGCTCCCTTGGCCAATAAAGCGAGATGAGCACCGCAACCCCAGAGTCGGCCATGACTGGACCTAATGGTCAGGGGTCCCTTTACCCTTTACCTTTTTAATATCATTCTAATAGGAGGAAAATAATGCTAAAGCAGGTCAGTGTAGATCCAGCCACAGTAAGCCAGGCTCTCACTTACCATGATGTACAAACCAGAGCAGTGTGATTCACAAAGCCTATTAGCCAGCGTTTAAAAGGAATCTAGGCTGCATTCTCACATATGCTCGCTCAGGAGCAAGCTAGTTGGATGCAGTGAAGCTTACTTCTGAGGAAACTTGCTTAGGATTGTGCTATTAGTCTTCCTGGGATCTGTGGTTTCAGCTGTGGGTACACCAGTTTAAGCAGTCTGTGGATTTCAGCACAGTGCTTCTCTAAAAGGAAACCATGCAATAAATACAGAGGTTCCCCCGCTCTGTTCTCTAGCATAAGGGCTGACAGAGCAATCTAGGGGGAAATGCTGGCCAGCCTCAATTATAGCTTGCCTTGGGCCAGTATTTACCATTTCCCTGCCTCAGCTCCGCAATGTATGTAAAGTGGGAAGCTTGTGTGGTGTTGTTGATAACATCTTAGACACTGACTCATAACATAATAGGCAGAATGGTTGAGTGAGGTGGTAGAGTTCGTGAACTGCACCACTTCAGAGTCGGGACACTGGTGGCGCTGGGGTCTAAACCACCGAGCCTCTTGGGTTTGCTGATCAGAAGGTTGGCGGTTCGAATCTGTGCGACGGGCTGAGTTCCCGTTGTTCTGTCCCAGCTCCTGCCAACATAGCAGAGCGAAAGCACACTAACGCAAGTAGATAAATAGGTATCACTGTGGCGGGAAGCTAAACGGCATTTCCGTGTGTTCTGGCTTCAGTCACAGTGTCCTGTTGCGCCAGAAGTGGTTTAGTGATGCTGGCCACATGAAGGAAAGCTGTCTGCGGACAAGTGCCGGCTCCCTCGGCCTGAAAGCAGAGATGAGCGCCACACCCCATAGTCTCTTTTGACTGGACTTAACTGTCCAGGGGTGCTTTACCTTTTACCTTACCACTTCAGACAGCTGTTTGCATGCACACACATTTTTGAACGGTGGTGAGGACAAGTATATCTACACATTGAAGCTCAACATGAAGTGTGGTTTGCTATAGCCCTCTTCCAAATTTTCAGGGGGGCTGTTTTCTGTGTGCAGGGGGAGATTCGAAAAACATGACCCCACCAGCCTTTTGAAGTGGTGCAACCAGAATTCTACCCCATCTCGTTCTACGCAGTGCTATTTTTCTAGGGAAAAAGTGCCAGAACTCACTATGAACTTGTTCTCTTAGAATGGCTATGGTGCCCACATGAGAGGTGCCGGAACTGAGTTCTAGTGAGCTCCTGCTTTAAAGAAAGCCCTGATTGTACGTAATCTGTAGTTTGGCTCTTAGACGAAGGGGAATGACTCCATGCAGCTGTGAAGTCTGCTGGCTGACTTTGCCCTGTCTCTCAACCTATTCCACTTCACAGGGTTGTTGTGAAGATGAACGAACTGTGTGTTTTCCACCCTGGGGAAGGTTGTTGGCAAAAAGGATAAAACTTGTCCCTTGTGCACAGGAGTTGGAATATAAGACTTCCAAATCAATCAACGCTAAAGCAATAACACATAGTATAATAACTGGCAACTGCTTCGTATCTCGGGCCTTTGCTTGCCAAATGTAATCGGATACCTGGACGCCTTTAGGATCCAAAAATCTGAAGGGCCACATGAATAGACACAATGCAGATGTCTTGAGTTTTATGAGGCCTGGTTCTTAATAGCAGCTGTCTTTCCCACATCGGTTGTGACCATCTGTAGATTAAGCCGAGTTTCTTTCTGAAGCCGAGACCCCAAACAACACCGCCACATGCTCCTTCTGGGTTCTCCCTTCGTCGTAAGCAAGCCCAGCTCCTCCTCAGTTGTCCCAACTTTTAACATCCAGCCCTTTGAGGAATGGATTCAATTTTCACCAAGGGCTGTTCCCAAGTACATAAAAAACAAAAAGGCACTTTGGTTCTGTGGATTACACGTTTAATAGACGGCCGTGGAGCTGCTCCGTGGGAAATTCTTAGCTCATATATTTTGCAAGGCGGTGCCATTTGGCATGGTGGAGCATGGAATTGGTACACAGCTCAAATCAGTTGCAGCTGACTTGCCCACATGTGTGCTGAGGAATCAGGGGGAAAGGAACCCTCCTAACTCCTATTAATACATAATTGGTGCACTGTGCTGCACAGATTTGCTCAGAAACGAGGACCACTGTGTTCAACGGGACTTTCCACCCAGTAAGAGTGCTTGGGATGGCAGACTGACCATGCAATCCTACCCCGGTCTACTCAGAAGCAAGTCCCAAAAAAGCACCTCGGGGGGGGGGGGGGTTATAGGATTGCCTCGGAGGCCGCACAACAGCCATCACAGCTGAGCTTCCTCTGAAGCCTTCATGCCAGTACATGGAGGCTGCTGAGACTGTGGTTGGCTTTGCATTTGATTGCCTTCGCAGCAAAGCTTCGAAAGCATGGGAAATTGTGACGGGAACCGGCTGGAGATTATATATTGAGGGAGACTGTAGAAATGTACACACATAATGTCTGCCGGTCTCCCGTACATATTGATTGTGAAGAAATGGGGGGGGGGGGGACTTCAAGAGGGAATTTTGATTCATTAAACCCAGAGGTTTGCTTCCTTTATGCAGAAAAGGATTCAAGTGTGCATCAATACCTTTTTGTCTCTCTTGCAAAAAATGATAGGGGCATGATTGCCACCTTTTCCTGTTTCCAACTCCACATGTGCAAGGTTTGTTTAGGTAATTTAATGGACACTGGTTTTTTTTTTAATTTAAAAAATTAGGATCAGAGACATTATTATTTTTATTAAAATTCTGTACTGCTCTTCATCCGAAGATCACAGGGGAGTTTACAATATAAATACACACCTTGTAATAAAAGAAAACAGTACCCCACCACAATTTAAAAGGCCATAGATTGTTTAATGAGCCAAAGGCCTGGGAGAATGGTTTTGCCTGGCACCTAACAATATATAATGAAGGTGCCAGGTGAGCCTCTCTGGGGAGAGCATTCCACAAATGGGGAGCCACTGCAGAAAAGACCTCTTCTCACGCTGCTAGCGGAGGAGGCATTCATAGAAGGGCCTCAGATTATTGCTATTTATTTATTTTTATTATTGTTGTTGTTGTTGGTTCAGATGCTCTAACGCACATGTGGGCAGCCTATGGCTGGGAAAGTGGGCTTCCCCCATTCTTCCATCCCACCAGAGTTCTTCCAGTTCCTGGAAACTGACGGAGGAGAGAGGGATCTTCTTGTGCGCAGGTCCTGATGTCACGAAAGGACAGGCTGGTTGAAAGGAAAGAGGCAGTTCTGAGTTGGGGAGAGGAGATAAGCCATA